GCAGTTGTACCAAGAGGACAAGTACGTGCGTATGGGAGTAGTGCCGCCTTTGTTGTCAATAAAACCCTACATCTCAAATCCGCTGCGCCCTACGAGACGGGAGATCAACAGGTAAAACTAATTTATCATGTTGCTGGCACTGCCGGTTACATATAGCACTTCGGCGAATATGTCAACAGCCACTCATGACACACCAAATGCAATGAGGAAAAGCAAACTGTGCTAAAGGCTTTGTGCTCCAGTGTCGGGGAATCAACTTCAACTTTAGTTAGAGGCAAGCAAGTAGATAACCTCATCCAATGAAGGCACATGAGTGAACAAATAACTGTTGAGGTTGAACCTGTACAGATGAGGCAGGTTAGGTTGAATTCATTCACTCAAGTGAAATAAGTCTCATTTACAATAACTGGTCTCAGAAACGATTCATGCTCGATCCGTGTTTATCCAAGTACCCCTTGGGGGGAGTTACCTTTGTAACCGTAGTCTTGGCGACCACCGAAATTAAAATTTATCCTTGCTTGTCCACCGCTTACCCGATGCTTAAACATGTGATGGGTATGATGTTACAACTTATGCTAAGTGGCAGCTGGTACATTTGGGAGATTTTGTCCACGAAGTATACTCTTTCGAAATTCTTCTCGCGGCTAAGTCCATCCCAAAACGGTTACTGACACGTCCCGAGAGTAAAGAGTGCAACTCACTAGTCACATATTACCAGCACGATAACCGAAAAGGTTCCGCAAGTAGGTGCCATCTGAGACCCAAATAAATGTCGCGAACGCTAAATCCACTAGAGTCAGCATGCAGCGCACAGAGCCGAACATCAGGGATTTTACGCGAACTGTACATCAGCAGTTGGTCTGACGACCCTACGTAACCTGGTATTGAAAAGAAAGACCAAGCCACTTTTGTTGTTCACAGAAGGATAAATTGCAAACTACTCACGAAGTCATTGGGCCTGCCTGCAAACAAGTCGTGTATGGCCCACCAAAAATTGATGAATCACCCGTCACCCACTAGTCAGTTCAACAGGTCTGAATTGCACAAGCTCCGACGCTTTACTGATATCCGAAACGTTTTCATCTAGGTACGCCCACACCCAAGGGTGCTTTAGAAAACCCGCCTAACTTAGACTACTCCAGGCCACTGATATTGTGAGTTCATTTTCAGCGTTGAATTCGGGTTAGACCCAGAAATTGTTGATTCTGTGGTGGAGATAAATGTCACTCAACTGGAACCATCGTGTGCCTGCAGCAATGGTGGAGTTTTTCTGCACTATCTCGCAGTGACCTGCGATGTGGACTACTTGCTTTAGTTTCAAAGGAAGTTCAAAAGAAATAAAGCGATCTAAAGTCCGTCATTTATAAAAGGTGGCGTCCTTTATGTTGTAGACACTGTTTTATTACTTCCTTTTTGTCAGTAGTTATCTGGCTTGTGATATCTGTTTGAGTTCCCAAACCCCAATGTGCTGTTCCTTTCTTGGCCTGTTAAACCCACACTTACCCTGTATGAGGCTACGGTTAACATCATTCATGCTAGGTCACACCGACTGAAGTGTACGTCCGGTCCGTGCAATTGTGGACAGCTCATGTGTGACGTCTGAATGCATTCCTGACCACCGGTCGATTCCGTTCCAACATCACAGGCCAAAGATTAGCCATACCTGCTTCACAGTCATCTTTATTGGCTTCATTTCTTCCAAACTTTAAGGTTTGTGCATGGAAACAACTTCAACTGGTGCATTAAAAGCCACTCATGGTGTTTTGTATACGTAAAAGCCTATAAGTTCTCCAATTCAAGGCTCGGCAGTTACATCTTCCGTTGCAGTACCATTGGCTTCTAAGTCATTCGAGTTTCTCTTCAGTAGTTCAATAGTTCCATAGTGTATGATGGGATAAAAAGCATTGGCTTTACAAGACCCATAGGATGGTAAATGCAAAATAGATAAAAATCATTAGATTCCGACATGGAACTGAAATGCCAATAGTCTAAACCTAGTACATCACACCACAATGTGTTGTTTGTCACTCAGATGAATGTCTAACAATTGTTTGAAGGCTGTAATGTTCGGAGCGTTTACCACATGCGTTGGCAAGTCATTCCATTGTGAACAGCTTCTAAGATTCTTATCCGTGAAGATATCAACCATGGAGTAAAGCTGTGAAACGATCTATTTAGGTCATCTTTTCTGCAATATTCCTAAAGCGATAACTCGTTGATCAACCAGTATCTAGTATTACTATATTGCAAACGAAAGAAACAAATCTCAGAAAACGAGCGCACGACGCGTCCAGTTCAGACACTCTAAATTGGTGTATCTAAAATTGTGTTCGTGTACAGTGCATGGTAACTCCCGAATGAGCCGCTTAGTTGCTGACACGATTTTCGCCTATTCCCAAGCAGTTTTCAATATCATCCTGCTATCTGTAAATGTTTAGCTGTTTAACATTTAATGTATCCCACTCTATTTGATTTGATTTCATTTCGCGGACAGCATCATTTAGGCTTATTTTAACTGGTGCGCAGTTAAACGCGTGTTATCCCTTCGCTAATGCTTATTCGGCGACATTCTTGGTCATGCAAGAGAGGGTTGTCTTTATTTCCGGAAATGTCTGACTATTTGCCATTAAACAGCAGACACACTATATGTTACCATCTCAAACGTGAAAGAGATGGGTTAGAAGAATTCGCATCCATAGAATTTGCCTCTGAGCTCAGTTTCGCCAAGGAACGAAGGCCTTAACAGACAGCGATTAATTGAACCAGCGGAGGGTACAGTATGACACTCACATCTAACAAACGCGTACCCTGTGGCGGCTGTATCTGAAGCAATGCGACATTTTTGCTCAGGATCACTACTGACACAGCGCACATGCTGCGGGCGAATCGCGCACAGCCGGAGAGTTTACATTAGGCTACTGTGTCTTCATCTTTATTGCGGTACATCGCTGTTGGATGGATAAATGTCGATGCAAGCGAACATTTGTTTTCACTAATTCCTTTTCGGGCTTGTACAATAATATTGGGGAAAAACAAATGTTGGACACAACGTATGTGTTGGTAAGATACGTCCGGTTCACAATCGCTGATCAAGCATAAACACTATCGGTTACGGTCACAAGCGTGATGGGCACAAATTCTGTGAGCCAGATGTCACAGTTCTTGTGGATCAATGCAGTTTTAACGTCTGAACACACCGTTTCTGAACACACAACTCCGACTCGTACAGTCGAATCGCGATGGCCTCAGCGGATTTAAGTAAACGCCTACGGACGTACTGTGAAATCAAGTGGTTCTGACAGGCTCTGTGAAGAAAGCTGAACTGTCGTAGAAATATTAAGTCATTTCCAAAATTCTCCAACGTAGTCGGCACAGTTGTTTTCTTACTAATGCGGATGGGAATCGCTTAAAAGTTCCCCGTGTTGGAACAACATACCATGCTTTCTAGTCCTGGCCCCGTCAGGTTGGCGATACCGGAAAACCGGCACAATGCATCAAAGATCAGCGCACAGCTACTGCAGCGACACTGATGAAATGATGCATTTCGTGTTTTAAAGACTATCCAGATGACAGCCTCTCTAACTTTCATATTAGCGCTTACCAAGGAAACGTAGGCATTTCTTCACACTGTAACTTCAGACTCTTGTCACTGGACATTAGCTACATCTGGACAAAAGTCTGGAGTGTATTTAGGAGCTGAGGAACCACAACACCTCAATTCGCGCTTTACCACGCAGATCCTACTTTCGCCGCACTATATCTACACATCCGTCTAATGAATAAGGGGAACAAGCAACATAAGTAGGCAGTGTACACCCTACGGCTCTGTCAATATACCACGTGGTCTCTTCCACTGTCGCATGCTGCATCTGAGAAACATGTGGACATGTGGCCATAACCGACACCTGCTAATGCGGCAGCTACAAAAACAGAGTATGTGCTGAAAGCTGGCGCCTCCAATAGTTTTTTTTATGCGGAAGCCCACGTGACGTAACCTTAGTGAGCCACTGCTGATAACCACGGAAAATTTGGCAGGATTTTAGTAAGAAGCGCGATTATTTGCTGATTGAGATGCTCCCCGGTACAGGCACCGAAAGCAGCTGTGAATCCGGCTGTGCAACTTCTTTCCGAACCTGTGTGGCCCTCTGATGGGATCTGGTTGAGATGAGCCTCATCTTAAATGGACAGTTGCTCCTACTAAGATAGACCACTTTTGAACAGTTGGCTGTGCCAATTCTGCATCCAGCTTCGCAGGATTCTTCTTCCTAAGACAACAGAACCAGTCTGCTGTCAGAAAACAACCATAAAACTGATACTGTCTTCCGGAACTGTTAGTGACTGTCACTTGTCAGTTATGATTTGCGCGTTAAATTGACGTTACTTCATTTGCATTTATTTTCTATGTCATTCACGCTAACCAGCTGCGTCTATACTCATTCAACATGATACTCTCATCTTCTGTTTTGCTTTTCATGGAGAATATGGGCAATGCTGACGGGTTCATACAAAAATAACAAGCCATCTACAGTACCCCCGAATATCTTATGTCTGTAAGGAATTTCCTCTAAACTGATCCCGATGCTTACACTATCAGCAACTTTACAATGGAAAGATTTACTGACCAATAGCATTAACGAGACTGTGTTCTGGGTACCTCAAAAAGACAATGAAACTATGCCAAGGAATCCGTAGCCAATTCATCTAATCGTGGAAGAACCCAGTTGTCACTGCTTAGTATGCACAAAAACAAGTCGGATCCTACTCCACAGTATAGTGCAATTTCTGCCAAAAGGTTGTTGAGACACTCTAAAATAGAACCTCGGGAAAGGCAAGCAAAGTTTCACTTATGCTACAAACCTACAGGACAAAAAGTTGTAATGTATAAGTCCCTCCCAAATCGGTGCCAACAGTACGATTCCAGGAGCGGCACCGAGTGTCATATGCACACGACAGGTACAACTCCAGAATTTTGTTGGTCTACGTAAAATCTTTACACTTACCCATCAACTGTGGGCGCGTCAATCGACCTGTGCGGACCATCTCCCAAGCGAAACATTCACCTTCTTCCATAACCCAGTTTCGCTTAGGGTGGGAATTTGACCGGCTCCAGTACGGTGCATACTTCCACCACCAATTGCATTTTTATGCGGTTGCGCAAGAGACTACGCGCCGGCGGGTGAATAGAACGGTCTGATTGGTAAACCGCTGCAGCGGAAACACCAATCATCGACGCGTCAGCTATTTGCAACTGCTAGTAAATCAGGTTCGTGTTCTACACTGAATGGTAACTGAGAAAGCAAGACAGCTGTTCGGTTGTTGTCTCCTCAGCATTCCATTATTATTGGAATCACAGGAGGAAACTAAAGAGGTTAAAATGATCCGGGTTGAATCATTAAATACAATGCTCTTCTCTGCGACTTGGTTCAAGTAAGCTCCAGGAAACCAAAGACATCAGAGCAGCCTCCGAAGGGATGTATCCATCAACAACTACGTCCGCAAACCCAATAAAAGTACATCGCTGAACCCTTTATTAAAATATCATGGGATAGGTCAGCAGGATTTCGAGAAGTGAAAACACGATTGCCATAACCATTTGCTTCCAAGGGAGTTCTCAGAATTGCAGACCACTTTCGGACAAAGAATGGCTTAGGGGTTCCAGAAATTTTGATTTTAAAATTTGGTAGTGGAAATAACCGTTTCGCATAAATGAGCAACTAAAAGTTTAGCCAGGTTCCCGATTTTATCGACAAGTTAACCTGAAAATACTGAAAGCAAACTTGAAGGGTCGCAATTTGTGAGGTGGATGTAATTGTACTCGTATGACAAGCAGCCTACTAGTATTCCTTAATGCCACTGTGAAAAATCAGGAACTAACTTCATTCGGTACATATTTTGAGTGAATTCAACTGATTTTTTTCACTCGACCTACCTTCGTCTTTGAAACAATAAGTCTATGTGACCGTCGTGTTCATCACTATTAAAAGCAGCAAACGGATTGCGAGGTACTGCTTTCGTTTGTTTTCCGTCCCTACGATGTAAGTCGACTCTGTGTTAAGGCAAGCGCACTTAAAATCCTGGGTCGCGGTTATACTTTATTTCACTTTCTAGTACTCTCCTGTCCTCACCAGCAGCTCACTTACCTTTCCTCGCGGCCAAGTCTACTTTGCAGCTTTTATGTGCACATGAAATTGAACAAATAATGCAAACATGTTTGCTTCATATCTACTCTTATGCTATAGCTTTTTTATACTCGGTAGCACTCACCCAAGTGTTACCGATGAATATAGAAAATCGGAGCAAATGTATTCCTTGCACTCATTCATTGCTAACTTCTGAGCAGAAAATCGACACTATGAGGAAAGCGCACACCGAGGAAACGCAGTCAAAAATTCCTCATTAACATTGCGCAGACATAAAAGCGCACCTGCGGATTGCGTATGAGGAAATTGCGCACACGGAAGAGTGCTCACACGGAAGGTTGTGCACATCAGACGTAAACACATTCTATCAATCTGGTCACATTGTCACAGGTACTCAAATTAAATATTTGTAGCACTAACAAGATCCAATTTTCGACGTATGTCCGGAAAAGTAGTACCTTGGAATAATTTCGACATTCCCACCCAAGGTGCCCGTTAGTTTGACCTCCGGTTCACATACCGTACTGCGCAGCATTATAAAACTATGTACGAAACTCCGCAGATGGAGGATTGCTCACCTACTGCGGCTGAAACCTACTGTGTGTCAGTAGGCCGACTTAATGTCCTGTCGTCCCTTGCCTTCTTTATGCAGATGTTGAAATCAAAGGCGGGTATCTTCACCTAAACCAAAGCCTCAGAAGGAATGTCCGCAACGAAGACACAAAGACTTCCTTTGAAACGGATGTCAGCCAAAAACTCCAACTGAAGCCTCCGGCTGCAATAACCGTGGTCCCAGTCATGGATATAGACGGAGTGTTTGATGACCTTTGTGCTACTTTTCAACTGGAATCAGGTGATACGGTACTCACATACCACTGTACTTACGGTTGCGAAACAATCCAGGGCAACCAGTGTACTTTATTTACTACATTAGGAATTTGTCGTAAAATCCATCTGTTGGACAGTTTTCCTGCTAGTGACCACAAGACATTAGGACTTACCTGCGTCACAGGAATAAACGTTACACCACACCCGCTCATACAACATTGCATCCAGAGGGAACAATTGGACACATCTCCAACACTTGGGCCTATCATCTGATTGGGCTGTAATTTTCCGCTCCACCACTTAGCTCACCAAGATACAAATGATGAAGGTGCTTCAATCAAGCCAGGCGTAAGCGCGACTGTTAGAGCGCTGGTGTGCACTTCGCAACAGACTACTTTCTGAGCTCTGACTCAATACGGTGTCCTCCAAACAACCAACAGACGGCAAACTGAGTAACACCTCGTAAAGGGAACGATTCAGATGGCATCACTCAGCCAGCCTGGGAAATTGACGCTTACACCCCATTCCTTAGGCCCAACGGGATTGTTCAGGGGCAATATACGCCTGATAGGACACAAACTCAGTCGTCAGTATATAGAACAACGATTAGTGGCCGACCTCGCAGCGGTCGGTGCGACCTCGCATCCAATTCACATGTCCTCCGACTCACTACAGAAACCTGAAGTACCATACGCTCGGGATCACAACTTCATAATTGAAACCTGGTTGCCTGCACCAATTACTAAAGTCGAGTCGCGATGCCAGTTCTTCGCAAGTTTGGTAAACTGAATGGACTACTCAAACGTTGTCAGTACAATCCTGCCCCCACGTGAATTTGCAATCGCTATTCTGTAGGTACCGGTTTGTTTGCGGCCGCTTTTGTGCTGATGTCGTCTGTTTATCTGAGGAATCTCTTGATTCTGCGAGGAAAAACTGACAAGTAATCGGTTTTCTTGGTTCCTGGCAAATGCCCAGGTAAATGCGCAGTCACTTATCCCATAACACCATGGATTCAATTTGAGTCCGAAATGTGGGTTAGTATGGAAGACTCAAAATGCTTACGAGGCATGACGCGCACTGATACCCACCACACGAGCACACACGAATCACTAGTGCTGTTTGAAAGTGCTTGCCTCTTATACATGCAAAACCTACGCTTGCTTATTCATTAATGCGTTGTTCAGGACTACATTTTCATCAATGAATTGCTCAGGCGGAACAAGACCCACTTACACAATGCCAGAACGGACTAATCACTCGTACAGAAATTTCTTACTGATATAGACGGAAATGTTTACAAATGCAGGTTTAAATATGAGAGTACAGGGTTTGCTCGTACGATCACAGTTTGCCGTTGAGCGCAAATAGCTTAACGCTGGGTTTAACACCGGCAGGAACAACAAAGGTCATTATTTCAAAGTAACTACTCTTGGCAAATATTTAAGCTGGTCTTCTGTCGAGTCATAATCTCGGACACAAGAAGCGACAGCAGCTTGCAACGTATCATATAAGTTCTTCCATACCTCAAAGCGACCCGCATGCGAATTGGCCAGTGTAAATCTGTGGCTGGCCAAGTCCTCCTGTAGTCCATCGAACAAATGCTATAACGCTTGGATGACGGAGGTGGAATAAGAAATTCAATGCATGATGAAATCCCTCACTGTAGTTGGTGGTTTTCGGATATCTTCCAAGTGCAGCATCATGATAGTTTCACAGTTGCAGTGGGAACGGCGATTCTCAACCCGCTGCCCCTTCAATGCAGGTAGAGAAGAAATAAGTTAGCATCGCATTATATGATTCTTCATTTGGAAATGTGCTAGCAAACCCATCAAAATCTCCTCTTACTTCAACAACTGGGACAAAGGAAAGTGCAGTCATCAACTTCAGCTGTAGTTTACTATTGACATCCATTTCGAAGCACTTTTTAGGACGAAGTTGCAAACATTTCTGAAGAGAGTTTGGCACAGGTGGAATCAGCATCCTTTACTTTCTACGTCGGGACATGCGAATCTCGCAGCGTTAATAAAAGTCTTCTCAAAATCGACTAATAAGTTGCTTGGCATCAAATCCGGTAACAGTAGTTTCAGTATTTCAAACATTCTCGTATAGGTCCGCGTATCTTTGTTCTGCAAATGGATGTAAAGACAACAAGGGATAACTGTTGCCCACGTTGGCGTGCCACGTATACAACTGATAAAACATGTAGGGAACTATATCAAAAGGGCCGTCCCCGTATGTTGTATTTGTGACCAATTCAAGTATAAGTTCTTTGACGCCTAACACGATAATCCTTTATGGATCATCCACACCTGAATCATGTAGAATTACCTCGGATTACTGCTCAGGTATAGCAACTTTTGTGCCTGTTAGACAAGGTAAAATGACCGCTTTTTCGGTGACTAAGAAGAGTTCTTACAATACCTGACTGTTTGGACAAATGCGCCAAAGCTTCACTGCTCAGTGCAGAAAACACACTTCCCATACCTTTGTGAGATGTCGCACTGACTGCTTTCATATCCAGAATCATGTGGCTTCGCGCAGCATTGACTTCGGCGTACTGATGAAATCAGTCATGACAGTGTGCAGTTGGCTGTTGCAAGATGATACCTTCTCGTGTCTTCATTGGTGAGTGATACTTCACACCTCGGTTTTGCCTGCCTCTCCAAGTTCCCACTCCTTCGGTGGTGCGGAAAGCGAGATATTCAAACCACAAGTATGACAAAACTAGCTTGCCCTTCTGATTTCTGGATTACTCCATGGGTAAGAGTGCAACAAGAAACGGTGACGTGTGTTGCAGTCCACTTAGCGAATCACGCATTCGCGTCAATCGTTTACATAGAACTGGTGGATTAAGTCGGTTACCCACATCCCATCACAGTGGAACCTCATTGGTCAAACACTGGCGATCTAAGATCATTTGGCGCTGTCAAGCCGCTTGCTCTGCGGCCGCCGTCATCATGACTAGGCGACACTAGCGACGAACTCCATCTGCTTAGATGGAGTGGGTTTCAGCCGCAATTCCGTTGCGGCTTCGACAAACGCAAGTTTGTAGCAACGCTCACTCTGTTGCGCGTGATGTATGAATCACAACCCATTGCGGATGTGCAGCCTTTGTGTCTGTGCTGGGCTCAATGGTCGGTAC